TCTAAGGATATGTTCGCTATTTGCTGGTCAACCTGGAAGTCAATTGTTGCGAACTATCTCACCTGCGACCGATCGGAGCTTGATAATCTGGGCTGAGACTCATTTTTCCCACGAACATCAAAGTTAAGATCAAATTCGAAACCGACTGTTCATTATTGGGATGTTCGTAGTTTCAAATTGATTCGGAGCTTCATATTCGGGGATTGACTTTGATTCGCGAAGGTTGCGTTGTCGGGGCTAGGGCAGCAGAAGGAGGCGGCGACTTTAAGCCTCTTAGGAGCTTACCTTGACCATATTTGCATCTCAGTTATGGCGGATACGGGTCTAAGGTGGATATAGCTGCCTCAATGGTCGGGGAATTCGACGTCGCTGCAACCATCTTCGGCGAAGCTTACGTTGTCGGGGCTAGGGCAGGAGAAGGAGGCGGCGGCGTTTGATAGGGTAATGAATAGATGGATTGTTGAAGATCAAAGACGAAGGAGAAATAGGGTGCTTTCTGGATGAGTAGGGAAAAAAAGCGACTACATCGATAGTCTTTATCTTCAAAGAAGCTTCCAGGTCCAATTAGGGCTAAAAAAATCGTTTGATAAGGGAATGAATAGAGAGACGGCAATCTTTAATGGAAATAAGAATGAGAATGAGAAATTATAGGATTGACCTAAAGTTTCAATTACCGTTATACCCTTATGCCATTTTAAAAGTTACACTTTACTACCTATAGTTTTAGAATCAACATAAATTACCCGTTTAATAATAGCCTTAGATTTGAATATTTTAATGGCCCATATGTGTTCTCGCGTTCTCAACCTTTTTGACGTTCTCAATTGATCCTACATATATATATATATATATATATATATATATATATATATATATATATATATATATATATATATATATATATATATATATATATATATATATATATATATATATATATATATATATATATATATATATATATATATATATATATATATGGCAATTTTTAGTATTCACTCCTGACCTTTAAAAAATAAATATAACAGAATAAATTATTAACAACATGGAGTATCCTACTACATTCTGTAAAAGACTTTGTTATAAGATGTTTTTGTTCACTTAGTTGAAAAATGGTTAGACCAAACGAAGCTGACCACTATTATGCATCTATCTTTGAAAAGCATTTTTAGTAATATTTGATTCACCCTTCGTTTTATCATCTAACCTATTAGTTGCATAAATACGTTATTGCAAAATCAATAAATACATCAGTGACCAACATTCCGGGGCTTTCTAAATTAAAATAACCTTACTCTTATTTAAAAACAATATATGAAATAAACAACATATCTTAAACATTTTTTGCGACAATTAATTCAAATATGTATAAAACTTAAGACACAATCAAAACTTCTTCTCCCTCTGATCATCAACAAAAGTTCTTCTTTATGACTTTTCATGGTATCGTAAGACCTACAGAATCCAAATCCATAGTTAAATACTATTGCAATCGCATACATTATAACACATATAGAGAAGTGAGAAAGAGAGAGGATTTTACTTCCACATGTGAAAGGTCGAGGGACTCTTCGACCACAACCTTCAATAAATTTAACAAGGCGATTGACATTGATGGTAGCAAGCAACGCAGGGGTGATCACAGGACATATGCACTCAACATGGCTAACCCGAGCTCGTTTGCAACAAGTTGATGATGGACGCCTGCCATACATCACACTTATGCAGGCATTGATGGCGAGCTTCCTCTCTTTTTTACAATGGGCAGCACTTGGTGCTGCACTCGTCATCCCCAAGATCATCATTAGAATCAAAACAACAACCAAACTTGTGTAAATTTTCATTTCAAAAAGTTTAGGTTTTGAATTTTCTTGTTTTCTAACTTTACACTATATGAGGGGTTTATATACAGAGTACTTGAGTGATAATGCGAACGACTGTGGACTTTGGAGTAATTGAGGTCAACGACTTACGCGGAACTAATTTGATTAATTGATTATTTCGCTATTACCATTTTACCCTTGAACAATTTCTTTTCTATTTTTTTATATCTATTTGATCTACGTATATTTTTATATTAATATAAAATTTCTGTTATATGCGTATACTGCTACATACATATTTTTTATTTTGTATTTAAAAAAACCACAGTTTTACGTACCAACTCTATTCTGATATTACTCTTTTGAATTATGATCCTATAAATGTGATGAGCATGTGAGATAGGTAAATGTTAAAGGCTTTGAAATGAAAATTGTTAAGATAGTGTTGGGTATAATCAAACGCTATAACATAATGAAAAACTCTGTTAGTGTGCCTAGTGGGGTGAAATGAATCATTTGTTGTAAAATGTAATTCATTCTCATGTGCCGTTTTTCATTCTACGAGAGATGTTTTTTTAAGGGAATGAAATGATGTATTATATATAATTAGCGGATGTATCTTTAGTTTTTGTTTGTTGAAAAATAAGAAAAACATTCAAAAAAGCCCATATATTATGGGTTCACCAATTGAAACGTTTTTTTTTTTAAGAAAAAGAAAAAAAATCTTATAAATGTTTACAGATAAATACAAGAAACCAACATTAGCTTACATATTTTGAATTTTAGATAGTAATCTTAATTTTTTTAACCAACAATTTTCAAAGAGATTATGTATTCTCAGTTTATTAATGATAAAAATGGTTTTTTTAGCAGAAGCATGAAGTACTATTCTATTATAATCTTATAAGATTAATTATATTGACAAAGTATATTATTTTTTTGTAACATTATTGTATTCTTTTTGTTTGATTGATCTTGTTTTACTGTATTTTATATGTAACACATGGCTTTGTCTTAATGTAAGATTAAAACTTTGATCATAAAGTTACAAAAAAAATTCAAAAAAAAAAAAAAAAAAAAAGAAGATGAGAAAGGTACAAAAAAGCAACTATGTTTAGGTTAAAAACTTCAATCAAAAAGCTATAAAAATAATAATTTCGAAGTAGAAGATATCATCGGTTAGACACAAGGAGTACAATACGATTAATACTCATTATCAAGAAAAGTGAATACAATAAATTTATGGTATGATAATACCCTCGTGTACAAAAAGAATATAATAATATTATAATAAGACAATACACTTTTTAAAATAGGGTTTAGGTCATTTTTAATCACTTAACTTTTGGTTTTTTGTTCATTTGATCACTTAATTCTTTGTAAATTTTGAAAGGTCATCAAACTTTTGCCTTTGTGCTCATTTAGTCACTTAACTTTTGTTTTTGTCACATTTAGTCACCAAACTTTTAAAATTGTGCTCATTTAGTCACTAAACTTTTAAAAAAATTTAAAAGTTTAGTGACTAAATGAGCACAATTTTAAAAGTTATACGACTAAATGAGCACAAATCTAAAAGTTATGTGACTAAATGTGACCAAACCAATTGTTAAGTGACTAAATGAGCACAAAGTTAAAAGTTTGATGACCTTTTACAACTTAAAAATAGTTAAGTGACCAAATAAACATAAAACCAAAAGTTAAATGACTAAAAATGACCTAAACCCTGTAAAATAAAAATTATATGTTAATATAATACCCTTAATAACATTATAATAAGATACAAACTTTTTTGTTAAAAAATATCATAACAAGATTATAATAAGATAATGCTTTTTGTCAAAGAGAGATCATAACAAGATTATAGTAAGATAATATCATTTATTATATCATTTTATATAATGATGATTATCATAAGACAAACTAATATCAGACATAAATGATGCATTAAGATCACAATAAGATAATAAAAGACAATATTTTTAGATTACACTAAGATAATATTTTTGCTATCAATTATATTAAAATAATATTCTCAATCATTTACTATTCAAAAAGTTGTGGATTCATCGTTAATGAGTCTTTTATATACATATTAGTCTAGAAGATATCAACTAAAACTAAAATCTCATATGTATAAAGAAGTAAGTTTTTTTTTGTGATTTTCTGTAAACAATTGTCAAAAAAAATATCCTTAATATATTTTTTTTCACTAATATATAACTCTTACAAGTACATTACCATATTAAGGTGTTTTTTTTAATAAAAGAAATATTTTATGTAAATTGAGTCTGAAGTTGTTTTCAGTTGACTGATTAGGTCGATCAATACATTTCGTCAGTAGTATTTATTACTAATTAATATTGATCAACTATTGAGCTACTTCGATTTGGCCTTTAAGCAAGGATTAATTAGCTTTTTAATCACAGTTAGTGGAATTTATCACTCCACCCAATGCGTTGACACTAATAAATAATCAGGTGCTCATATTTTAGTTTAATTGGTCGAGGTAGGAGTTGAATCGGTCTTCTACTACTCCATGTACGGAGTAATGGTGTAAAGTAAGAGTAGGCCAATTCGTGTCTACACCTAGAAAGAGCAAAGCCTCATCATTGCTTCATAAGTTGTACATTTGGCATAATTACTTGTACCAACTACTTACTTAATTCTAGGCTTAACTTTGATTAGGAAAACAGTTTTCTAATTTTTTTTTTTTTTTATCATGTAGTCTTCTTAGAAATATATTTCAGAATTCATAAGATAGTGCATGATGTGAGGAATGTTATTAAAGCATTTTATTCGTATGATTATTATTATAAGACAACTATTATAATAATTATAAGATTAAATTACGCGAATGGTCCCTGTGGTTTAGTGTAAATTACACGTTTGATCCGTAACTTATTTTTCTAACTCGGACTCTCCTCAACTTTTAATTATGTAACCCGCCACATCCCTATTCTCACATTCCGTCAATTGTTTCCGTTAGACACCCCATGTGCCTTGCACGTTGGGGGTATAAAAGTCTTTTCACATATCCAATGTTATACCGCCAAGAAAAAAAAGGACGTAACGTTGATCAACGTGATCAGACACAAGCTTCACAGACAAAACTTTTGAAAACCCTTTGAAAACCCTTGAAAACCCTTGATCGAAAGAACCCTACATTTGAAAACGACGATGACGCCTTGGAGGATACGTGCTACCATGGACGAGATTGACGTTGCTCGTAGATATGGTAAGTGTTTACTCCCTCAAGCAGTTAGTAACTTAAAAAGAAAAATGTGACTAACCAATCTTTCCTTGAATATACAGCCGGACATCCGACGATATTCTCTGTCCGATTACACCATGGTGGACAGTTTACAAAGTTCCCTGGAAGAAAGTACATCAAAGGCAAGCAAAATTATGTTGATTTACTAGACATTGACACCTTTTCCATTCACGACATTGACGAGATGATGGAGGAACTTGGGCATATTGATTCAGACGAAACACTACTCTATTATCATTTCCTGAGACCATTTGGCGATTTGGATTTTGGGTTATTTGCTTTGGGTTCAGATCAGGATGTTCATCATCTGGGTACGTATGTTGCTAACCATAAGCTAATAGATGTATATATTGAGCATGGGAAAACAAATTTACATACTTATTCTATGTCCCCCAACCCTAGTAAGGTTAAAATTGTTGAAATTAAAGAGCCACTAGCTTGCTCCAAACAGTTGTTCTTGGAGTGGAATGACTCTCCAATTGAGCATGAGAGTGTTCCAGACCTAACAGAAGTTGAGAATGATAGTCATTTGGACAAAGAACCATCTTTGGTCGACCATATTGAATTTTAAATGAATGTAGAGAATGAGGATGATTATGATGGTAGTGGACACAACAATGGCAGTGGAAATGATGAGTTTGATGATGATAGTGAGAGTGAAGATAGTGATTTTTTATTGATGAGGACAATCTCATACACGATGTTGATGTGGATATGAAAGATTTCCATATGAACATTGACAAGGATGTAGAATGGGTTGGAGGTTAATCTGAAAGTAATGTACCTGAAGATACACAACAAGGTGACTTAGAAGTGATCAACACAGAGGTTTTGTTGTCTGGGTCTTCATCAGATGAGGCAAATGATGGTAAGCAAAGGAAAACTATTAGGGCCATACAGAGGGCTTATGAAAATGATGCAGCTTTGGTTAGTGAGCCCTTCTACATTTTTCAAACTTTCAGTTCATCTAAGGACTTTAAGACACAAGTGAAACTACATTCCATAAGGACAAGAAGGGAAATACAATTAGAGAAAAATGATAAGAATAGGGTTAGGTTTGTGTGTAAAGGCACTATACCAAATCTTGCTATTAATGAAGAAGAGAAATGCCCATGGGTTATAGATTGTAGTAAGTGGAAGCGTGACATAGATTGGATGGTTAAGACATACACGAAGGAGCATCGATGTCTACAAACAAGGAAAGTCAAAGCATGTGACTATAAGTTCCTTTCAAAGCATATAGTACAAGTTATTGAGACAAACCCAAAGATTCCTATTAGGGCTTTACGAGAGCAACTCCAACATGAGTACCAGATGGACATTTCGCATATGAAAACTTTTAGGGCAAAGCAGCAAGCATTAAATCATGTTCAAGGAGATTATGCCAGCCAATACAGGTTGTTAAGGGATTATGTTTTAGAGGTACAAGCACGTAACCCAGATACTACGGTTAAAATTGATGTTGAAAGTGAAGCGAATCCAACTGTTGAGACAAGAACATTCAGGCATATCTATGTTTGCATTGGAGCTTTGAAGCGAGGTTTTGCAGCGGGAAGAAGGGACTTTCTTGGACTTGATGGAGCCTTCGTGAAAGGTCCATATCCAGGCCAAGTTTTGTCTGCTGTGGTAAGATCTTCTTATTTCTTTTTGTATTGTATGTTCTTTATTTTAAGTAGTGTTAACTGACCAATGTTTTCTGGTAATTTATGTTTCTTATCAAAGGCATTGGATGGTAATAATGGGATATATCCTTTAGAAACATTGAATTCTTGGACTTGGTTTTTAAGTAATTTGGGTGATGACTTAGGTTTGGGAACAAATTCCAATTTCACGTTTATGAGTGACAGGCAAAAGGTATTGGAACCTATCCAAACTAGGTTTTATAGTTTTATACTATTGATGCAGTTATACTAACATACACACATGTTACTATTGCTAGGGTTTGTTGCCTGCGATTGAAACACTATTTCCATGTGCAGAGCATCGCTATTGTCTTCGTCACATACACGACAACATGAAAAAGAACTGGAGGGGAAAGGTGTTCAAGGATCTTCTTTGGGAATGTGCCACGACCTCTAATGTACAACACTTTCATCAAGCAATGGAAAAACTAAAGAAGCTTAACAATGATGCTTATGAGTGGCTGAAACAAATACCTCCTCAAAGTTGGGCTCGCTCCCACTTTACTGGTATAATGACTTTCAATCTCTATTTAATAATTTTAAAAGAAGGTAAATTGAATACTGACATAGAATTTGTTTATGTTCAGGGAGAGCACATTGTGATGCTCTAACTAATAACCTGTGTGAAGCATTCAACAACAAGATAGAAGATGGTCATGATGCACCAATTATTAACTGCATTGAGTTCATCAGAGAGTACATTATGAAGAAGATAGTCAAAGTTGACAAGGAAATTCAGAAAGTTGTAGGCCCTTTGACTCCTGCAGCTACAACAATATTGGATAACATAAAGAGTAAGGCAGAACAGTATGTTGCAACATTTTGTGGTGCTGGAAAATATCAAGTTGCTGGACCATGGCAAGATCAGTGTATTGTGGATGTAGGTCAACAAAGTTGCACGTGCAAAAGGTGGGAATTAACAGGAATTCCGTGAAAACATGGTGTGGCTGCTATTTGGGACATGGGGAGGAATGACAAAGATGTGGGAATCCCAGAATCATTTGTGCATCCATGTTACTGGTTATCAAGCTGGAAAGAGATGTATTCTTTTAAGGTTAGTCCAATCAATGGAAGGTCCATGTGGGAGAAGTCAGCTATACCAACAACTCTGTTGCCTCCAAAACATCGTGTTCCCATAGGAAGACCAAAGAAGAAGAGAACAATATCAATTGTGGAAAAGGAGGACTTTGTTAGAGGAAACACATCATCGAGGGCCCATAGATCAGTAACATGTACGAAGTGTAACAATGTTGGTCACAATGCAAGAACCTGCAAAGGGAAAAGACCAATTGTTGGTGGGGGTGGTGGACAATCACAAGTCAAAGGAAAAGGGAAAGGGAAGGCAACCACTTGATGGTTTGTAATAGGGCTAGTCTTTTGTTACTTTAAATATGAATGGATTGTGTTATGTTGCTGCTTGTAATAGGGCTAATATTTTGGTACATTATTTATGAATAGTTTGTAATAGGGGCAGTATTTTGATACTTGTTTTAGCCAATATGTTGGCACTTTTGGATGAACTAGTTTGTCACCCTCATTGCCTAGTCATAGTTTGGTACTAATTAATGGAATGTTTTCTTCTTATGATACACCATTGGGTAGATAATAATTTGGTTTATATTGATTTTTACATTTATATTTTCCATAATACTTTGGTACTAAATTAGATTGTTATATTCTTCTTATGATGTCACCCTTATTGCCTTGTTATAGTTTGGTACTAATTAATGGTCAATATGTTGCTTATACATCACTTTAAAACATAATCAATACAACACTGCTACAACCATTACAGTACATTTGCATTACAATACATAGACAACCTAACCAATACATAAACACCATTTTCATTGATCTTAAAAATCTTAACCATATGCATTACAATACATAGACAACTTTGTTGGATTAGTGTCTAAGTCCATAACTATTTTGGTATGTACTTGACCCGATGGTGCATGGTCCTTTTGGGTTGCCTTCACCAAAGCAACTTGATTGGAGAAATGAATAAAGAGAGAGAGGATAATATGATTTATTAATATGTTATAAGAATAATATATTAAAGGAGAAATCATATTAGTTTAATTAATATTGGTCAATAATTAATTAAGAATTAGTTTTGTGATCAAATGTAATTAATTAAACTAGAGGGGCTGATTTGTAATTATGTGATAGTTACAAAATAAGGTAAGGATTATCTTATTTATATGGTGGACGAATTTAAGGTTGGAAAGCCTTAGAATTCGAGTATGATAAGGATTCAAGGATTATCTTATTGGTTGCTTAATGGATAATCAACTAGATAAGGATAATGACTGAAACCCTATCTCTACACCTATATAAACACCCCTAGGGTCATGAATTCGTGTATCCCTTCCCAAGAGGTCCTAGATACGAATTCTAACCTCTCACCTCTCTCTTTATAACTTCTCCATTTGCTTATGGTGTTTGTAAGCCATTAGAGGAGTGACACTTGTGACTCTAAGCATTCCAAAGTCAATCCAAGGTGGAGTTGTGATTGTTATTGCTACATAACAATCAAGGTATGTTCTTAAACCTAATTATATGTTAATGTCAATTTCCATATGTTAGAATTAGGGTTTATAGTCTTGGATTCAAAGCATGTACAATAGAGAAACCTAGATCCAAGCATTAGGGTTTATATGAGCACATAGGATGTCTTATGACCAAAACCTATCAGTGGTATCAGAGCCTAGCTTGGTTTCAATTGTATTGATGCATTGTATAACTAAAAAAATTCGATTTTTTGGATTGTGGAGGCTGGACTCACCGAGTCCATGCAGACTCGACGAGTCCATGCCTGACTCGACGAGTCAACTCGTCAGATAATGCTTATCTCGGGATTTCTTGCTGTTTTTGGATATGGATAGTTACCTTATCATGTTAGATCAATATAAATCCGATTTTATGATATATATGACTATATTCTTGATCTAATTAAAGATAATTATCAATTAACAAGATAATTGTTTCCTTATAAGATAATTGATTAATTATTTTGAGTAAATTGATAAATTGTTTTGCAAGAAATCATTAAACAAATCAAATATGGATAATTATGTAATTAAATGTTAGTTTAGATTATTTGTTATTTGATCCTTGTTGTTATGAAAAGTTTCATATTTTCCCCTTTAGGTTTTATAGTTTAAATTTGAACCCAAAAGTTTTGAAGTTTTGAAATTTAAATAGTTAAAACCCTAATGTTTTGAAAAAGGTTTCAAAACTTGCCCTCAAGTTTTGGAATTTAAAAGTTGATTAAAAGTTTAATTAGAAATGTTAAATTCTAAAACCCTAGTAATGTTTTGAAAAGTTCAAATCACACCCTTATGGTTTTATTAATTAATTAAGGAGTATAATTAAAAGATTTAATAAATCCATAAAGTTTAGGTTAACTTTTAATTGAATTAAAAGTGTAATTGTTAAAGTTAACCATATAGTATTTTAAAAGTATAAAATACACCCTATACTATATATAACATTAAAAGTCTAACATTATATATATGTATGAGTAAAAGTCAGTCTTACCGTTAGTAGGCCTCATTCACGAAGCTGGTCTATAAGGGGTGTTTAAGGAAATTGCCTATAAAATGGCGATTGAATGGGTATCCACTCTTACCCACCGCACTCTTGACTAGTGGAGGGTCGTTAGCCGAACGGGTAGGATAGGACGAAACCTTCCATTATAAGTATAATGAAATACAAAGTAACTAAATGTTTTTCAAATTCCCAATCTTAGTTACTTAGGCAAAAGTGAATTGATGCAATTCCATGAAATTACACTTTGTGCCCTTGCGAAGACGTTAGTGGAGCGTGTGTGGTTTACCGGCACACTAAATGGTTCTAAGCAAAGGTAGCAAAGGGTGACTCAATGTTTGTCATAGTTCGGTGGAGCGTGTGTGGTTTACCGGCACATCGAATAGGTGATTGTAACATGTGAGGGCACCATGTAGTTTGCATGGTTATTCACACCCGCTTTGTGATCCTCGGCATCCCAGTCACAAACAAGAGGGGCATATCGAGATTTAAACATGCCATTGAAATGTTCAATGAATCTCAAAGGATCTAGGAGTTTTCATAGATTTAAAACTTAAATTTCTTTTTCGTTTTTCATGGTGGAAATTAGTGAATCGTCATTCACTTACCTTCAAATGTTCTGCAATTTGGGTTACGGCATCCCTCTCCCGAGTTGTAGATATTGTGTTGGGTCCTAGCCTTAATTTCATTTGGGTGATTTACAAGGACTCAATCAATCAACTAACTTGAATTGTTTTTCTCCCGATGTCAAAGTTCGACAACTATGGTCTTCTCAAATCCCGTGGAACAAGCATTCCACATGAAGATGATATTCCACGATTCGATCGAGGAACAAGAAATCATGCTTCACTTCCTCCTCCTCCTCCAATTATTCTCCCTAACCCACAAGATTGTAAAATTGAAAGGTTCAATATCACTCAAGCCCTTTTGGCAAGTAAACATAAAGAGGAAAGTCGGTGTGTGCACACGTCTTAGGGATGAAGTCACACATTGATAGGTTAAGAATGATGGGATCCGTTGTCGGTGAAGAGATGGCTGTTGATTGGGTTCTTCAGTCACTTCCTAACTCGTATAGTGAGTTCGTAAGAGAGTACTATATGATGAACCACGACGTGACCCTTATGATCTCACCTATATGCTTATTGCTGCTGAATCAGCAATGGTTTGGCGCAATAGAAAAGCAAAGTTGATTGGTGAATCTGCCTTCAAGACCTCTATGGATATAGACAATGGCAATGAAAGACATGCAATGATCGAAAAGTTTGATCATAAGAGAAAGGCGATGTCTGAAGTAGTTCCATGTGTTGTTCCAAAAGAGTCAATTTGCTTTTATTGCCAAGAGAAGGGGCATTGGAGACGAAGTTGCCCTATTTACCTAAGAGATCTAAGAGATGGGAGAGTCAAAAGTATGACTACGCTTAGGTAAAATCCACTATCTAACTCCATTAAGTTCCTATTCATTGATTCTTAATACATGATGTGATAAGATTGCATTTGAATGTTTTGAAGGATCGGTGAAAAGAAAGGAAGCTTGATAAGAGAGCAAGATGAATCTAATCACAAGAGATGGATCTCGATCGCATGGACTTGAAGATTGGATTTTGAGCTTAGATAGTTATGATAGAGTTGTTAGAAATTTTCCTTTTACATAGTTTTCAATAGATTTTGCATTGTAAGGACAAATGTTTTTCCGCTGCTTTTATAAATAAAATAAATTTTGACTTACTTATATATTTGTTTATTTCCTTGCAATGAAATCGTTATGAAAATTGATGTTTGAATATTTCTACAACGAATGGATATGATTCTTAGTTATGTTATTTATGGAAATGTCAAGAATTTACCAAATAGGGAGAGTTTCTCATCGCCCAAGTTTCAATTGGACAGAAACTTGGAATCATGCAACGTGGATGCACGATGAATGAGAAATTTCGTATTTGGAAATTAGACTAATTGACAAAGTGTCAAGTGAAGGACTAGGAGATCTAGTACACAAAGTTGTGTGTTGATCAAGTTCACCATAAGAGTAACAAAGATATTCGTCATGATTTACTAAAGGTTTAGTAAATATGATTACACTTACAAGATTAAGTGTAATTCTGAATTGATTAAAGGGTTTAGATCAATAGTAGAACGAATAAGAAGAATCAAGTAGGCAGAAAGATAAAAGTTTCTCCATTCTAAGAAGAAGGGAGAGTAGCTTTTATGCTTTATGATAGGTCTTAATGATTAAGAACCATATCTCAATTGATCCTCTAAGTGAGTCTTGGTACAATTGTATGTCCAAGAAGAGGAATCAAAGATTGAAGAAATGGTCAAATCAAGAAGTCAATCATACTTCGTTCCAAAACAAGTCTTAAAGTCAAGATTGTGACATTGAGT